TATGCTTAAAGAATTAAGGATTTCGAGTGCGAATTTGATTATTTGACTTTATATGTGTTGCAGATACACACCAAGAAGAGGAATAGGTTGGATCACAATTGATTGCAGGATCTAGTATATTGCAAATATAATCAAGCTTTTAAGGAAAGATTTGACTGTAGGGATATTATTGATCCAATCAAGTTGACTGACATATATGAAAGCAACGAGTGGTTGTTAGGTCAATTTGGAGAGGGCAACAATGCGGAAAATGACTTGGTGGATGAGGAGGATGACCTTAGATGGGGTGTTGTAGGTGAAGCAACTGGAGTTGAAGAAAATTGGGGACCTACTTTAAGGTCTACTGCTACTGCTAGGGTTAGAGGATCTTCAAGTGGTATTGCTTCGTCATCTAGGAGTGAGCTGGACTCGGAGGATGAAGATGAGTTTAATGAAGAAGAGGAGGAAACTGAGGATGAGGAGATTCCACTTCAGTTGGATAACGATGAGGATGAGGATGACTAGAAACTTTGATATTTTGCTACTTGCTTATTTTATTTCGTAAACTTTTGCTCATGTTGGATATTATCTTACATTGTGATTTGTGGAAACATATGAACTTCTTTATGTTATGCATGCTAATTAAGACTCTTTCTTGATTTAGTAGGTAAAATTATATTTCTTAGTCTTTTTATGTGATAATTTATAAAAATATTGTTTATATGCTTCTTTGTCTTATATTGGAAAATATTAGTTTGGGTTATGCGCCTCAGTTAAGTGAGGCGCGCGCCTCATTGTGCGTCTTACGCATGGTGCGCGTAAGGGACTTTTGCATCCCATATTGCGCCTTGCGCCTCGATAACACTAATATCACCAACGGATCTGCAACTGATAGCGCTCCCAATAGTACCAAACTGAAACAAATCAAATACCTCCACCTAAGGTGAACCAATGACCGTATCCAAAACATGTCCTCCAACTGCACTCGAATCTAAAACCAACTCATCATCTGCATCCAAATCCAAATGATCTCCAAACTATTTCACCTCAGTTACAATCCCAAATGATGCAATATGATCTGGAGTATGTGGAGTAATCTCCACCCAAAGTGAAGTAGCATCACCATCCACCCGCTGCGATATCTTAATGATCTGATCAACACTGTCCACTTCTGAATCACAAACGTACAATCGGATCAAATCTCACATCCTCAATGTGACCAAATACTGGATAACTAAATATCCGACGCAACCCAAAATCTGAAACAGCTCCACTAGATCCAAAATCTCCACACGCAGCAGTCGGTAACCTATGACCAAGATGACTCAAATATGTCGAAGCTTCAAAATCAAAACCAATGCTCGACAACCAACGTCGATCCCCCTCCAGTAAGGAACAACCCATCAAAACTGTCATCTCATCTCGTCGCCCCAATGTCTCCACATCAATGAAATGTCTTAAACTGTCATGAGCTCGGCACAAATACAAGAAAGAACCCTTACCAAAGCTAGAACGACGGCTTAACTTTCTTCCAATACACTTCTTCTAATTATTGTTGACTTCTAGAACTTCACACCAACGGGACCTGGTTGCAACCCACCAATACCTAGAATAATCCCTAACTGCAAAAACCAAATACCGATTACCTCCCAATGATGCCTCCTTGGAAGGCCCCAAATGCCTGACTGAACACAACCTAAAAGACCCCTCGATCGATGGATGAAAGTGCCAAACTACACATCAGTCTTCTTGCTCATACCAATGTGCTCAAAGGACTTCAATATGCAGGTCAAAGCACTCCTTAACAAATCATGCACGACATAACCAATCAAATAACCCAGCCTCAACAAATGTCACAGTCTAGCCAAATCCAAAGAAGTCGTCAGCTCTCTATCAAATATCATGCTCCTAATCAAATAATACAAATTATTCCTCCTGACGCCCTTCATCACAATCATGGACCCCAATGTGACCTTCAAACGTGAATCGACCAATGTCACCCTATAGCTTGTTGCCTCCAAAACTCCAAGTGTGATGATGTTCTTCAACTGAGGAACGAACATCACTCTAACAAACTCCCGAATCACTCCGTCACTCATCCTAATCCGAACGGTACCGATACCACCAATAGGACATTCATGATCATTACCCATGAGCACGACCTTCCCTCTTTTTAACTCCTGAAAGCTAAAGAATCAATCCCTCCTAGGACAAATATGATAAGAAACACCTGAATCTAACATCCACTCTGTAGAATCGGTAACACAAACTGACGGTAGTGCAGATAACGAGTAGCCCGAAGAATCCGAATCTGAATTATTACCACTAGCCTTGACAACATTCACCTATGAAGCTTGAATAGCTTTTCCCTTATTCTTTACGGCTCGATCAACCAATTTTGGGCATTCGGCTTTCCAATGTCCATCATTTTTACAAAAGGCACACTGATTCCTACGAACTCTAAGATGTGTCCCTCTAGACTGCGACCTCCTACCACGATTTGGACTCTTTGCTCTTGCGACCAATGTCCCTGCTACCAGCTCAACTGAAGTCTCTTTATCCTTCTTTCGAAGCTGATAATCATAAGTACAACGGTGACCTCACTATAAGAAAGAGATGTCTTCCCATTAATAAGAGTAAGAACGAAGGTCTCATATTCCTCGTCAAGCAAGGAACTCAACAACAACGTCTTGTCCTCATCTTTAATCATCACATCTATATTCGCCAAATCCGTAAAAAGCTTTGTGTAGTAGTTCATGTGATCACCAATAGAGATCCCTTTTTTCAATTAGAAGCGATAAAACCTCCTCTTCAAATGCAAGCGGTTTCTCTATACTCTTGGTCAAATACTTGTCCTCTAGGATCTCCCAAATCTTCTTAGCCGAAGTCTCATTGATCACATCATATTTTAAATCTTGAGTCAAACAAGATCTAATCACACCCATGGTTTTAAATATCAGCCGATAATCCGATATTATCACCGAGTTATCGGATTTGGGAGCTTTCCGCTAGGATAAGTAGGATTTTTAATCGGTTATTGTTTTTTGAGGTTTATCAGTGATAAAGGCACTTATCGGCTTATAAGTAGGCTCTAAATATCGGCTTATCAACCGATAAGTAGGATTTGGGAGTTTTTACTTTCTTTTGGATTTGTTCTTTGAATGTTTACAAATTATGAACTATTTGTTGCTTTTGGAACGTGGTAGATTGGTGCTATGAAGCACCGACTCTTCAAAACAGCCGGCGAGTCCGTCTCCGACGCGCGTCAGACGCGGACACGCGTTCGACACGCGTTCGACACGCGTCGGACACGTGGTCAACGCCGCCGACACGGGTCAACGGCTCGACTCGCCGCAGGACACGGCGATTCCATTCCCGACACGGCAAAACCCAGACCCGAAATCCAAACCCGAAACCCAAACCCGAAACCCAATTTCAAAGTTAAAGAAACCAAAAACCCTAACCCTAGCCGTCACTCGTCAGAAATCAAAACTTACCCGCGATCAATAGTTCGTCCTCGTCCTCGTCCTCGTCTCGTCCTCGTCGTCAGCTCTCAGTCTCGTCCTCCTCCTTGTCGTCGATCATCCCCGTCAGCTTCGTCTTCGTCGTCATCGTCGATCATCCAAGGTCAGTCGCTCTCGCTCTCTCTCTCAGTCGCTCTCTCTCTCTCCCCCCGATCGATCTCTCTCATATCTCTTTCCGATTCTCTCTTTCTCTCTCTCAGCTCTTTCTCCCCCTCTCCTTCTCTCTCTTTTATCTCCCTCTCACCACACAAAAGCCCCCGTGAACTTTCCTTTACATAAAAAAACCCACTCAATTCCCACTCACCCGACAACCTACTATTCTCTCTCACTCTCTCTCAGAGATCCCACGTGACCCCCGCTAATTCCAAAGTGACGCTGCCCCCCACCACGCTGTTTTAAATTTTTTTTGGCTGTGTTACTGTTGGGGATTAATTAATATGCTACTGTTGGGTTAATTTAAATACTGACCATGGTTACTGTGCTGCTGTTGGGTTAATTAATATGCTGATTTCGGTTACTGTGCTGCTGTTGGGTTAATTAATATGCTGATTTCGCTTACTGTGCTGATGTTGGGTTAATTAATATGTTGATTTCGCTTACTGTGCTGTTGTTGGGGTTAATTCTGGTTACTGTCTTACTGTTAGAAGTTAACTAGTACATTGATTTATGCTTACTGCTTTGTTGTTGCTTGTTAATTAGGGTAAAACAGTTGGGTGTTAATTAGGACAGTAATTTTTTGTTACTGTTTTACTAGATCTGATTTTAATTTATTGTTATTGCTTTTGTACTTTATAGAAATGGAACAAGAAGGGGGTTCTAGTAGCAGTGGAGTACAAGATGACAAATGTCCGCTTTGAAAATATGTTACCAAATTGAAGAAAAGGGGGGAATGGCGGGAGGAAATTGGAGATGGAGATGTAACTATTGCAGAGAGGATTTTACCGGTTCACACTCAAGAGTTAAAAATCACCTCTTGAGGATAAGCGGGACTGGAATTAAGATGTGTTCCAAGTCAACCCCCGAAAACCTAAGGGAGTTTCAAAGGACGTTGGATCAAGCGGAGGCGAGGTTGGGGGCTTCTAGGTCTAAGATGCCAGTTTTGTCTATATCTTCGACTGCAAGTACAGCCGGTGTAGGTGCAAGTGCAAGCATGCCGATTGATGCAGGTGAATCTAAGAGGAGGGGGCCTAATACCGTGGAACAAGCATTCAACACGGGAGCAAGGGAGGAATTGGATGCATTGATTGGTAGGATGTTCTACACCGGGGGATTGTCCTTCAACTTAACACGGAATCCATATTATGTCAAAGCTTTTGCATATGCCGCAAACAATCAAATCTCTGGCTACAAGCTTTCTGGTTACAATTCCATGAGGACCACTGTCTTACAACGTGAGAAAACTCACGTAGATAGGTTGATGGAGCCCATCAGGGGCACATGGCAACAGAAGGGGGTCTCTATTTGTAGTGATGGGTGAGCGGATGCACAAAGGAGGCCCATCATCAATTTTATGGCGGTATGTGAGGGTAAGCCAATGTTCTTGAATGCCGTGAATGTCGAGGGAGAAGTCAAGAATAAGTATTTTATCCAAGCACAGCTAGAAAAGTGCATCACAGAGATGGGACCGAAAAATGTCATCCAAATCATAACCGATAATGCTTCGGCATGCAAGGCCGCAGGAGGGCTTGTGGAGGGCACTTGGCCTCACATATTTTGGACTCCTTGTGTAGTCCATACACTTAATCTTGCTATCAAGAATATTTGTGCAGCTAAGAACACGGAAGCAAATGTTGTGGCTTATGCACAATTACATTGGATTACAGAGATCTCTGATGATGCATTGATTATGAAGAATTTTATCATGAACCACTCTATGCGGCTTTTCATGTTCAATAAATATTCTAAGATGAAGCTCCTCTCGATTGCCGACACACGATTTGCCTCGTGGATTATGATGTTGAAAAGGTTTAAGGTCGTCAAGAGAGGCCTCCAAGACATGGTCCTTAGTGATCGATGGAGCTTGTATAGAGAAGATGATGTGGGGAAAGCTCAATTTGTGAAAGAGAAAGTCCTCGATGATTTGTGGTGGGACAAGATAGATTTTATTCTTGACTTCACTGGCCCAATCTATGAAATGATAAGGGTCACCGACACCGATACACCATGTCTTTATTTGGTATATGATATGTGGGATACAATGATTGAGAAGGTGAAGCAAGCTATTTATAGGCATGAGGGTAAAAGGGATAACGAGGAATCTCCTTTTTATGAGGTGGTTCACAAGATCTTGGTGGATCGGTGGAACAAGGGCAACACCCCGCTTCAGTGTTTGGCACACTCTTTAGTTCCAAGGTAATATTTCACATTTCACTCTTAAATGCAAATATTTCAATTAATTAATACATTGTGGGCTAATTCATGTTATTAACGAACATAGGTACTATCATTCCACATGGCTCAATGAGAACGTCAATCGGCAAGCTCCCAATCAAGATCTTGAGATCACTATGGAAAGAGCAAAGTGTTTAAGAAGATATCATCCTAACCCCGATGAACGACGGCCGGTGAACTTAGAATATGCTAAGTTTGTCGGGTCTTTGGAGGCTTTTAGTGATCCGGATTCTCTTTCCGATAGAGGACATATGGAACCAAAGTTATGGTGGCTTCTTTATGGTGCAAGTACTCCAAATTTGCAAGCATTGACCGTAAAGCTTCTAGGCCAACCTTGTTCCTCTTCTTGTTGTGAACGGAATTGGAGTACGTATGGTTTCATTCACTCCTTAAAGAGGAACAAGCTAACACCGGCACGAGCGGAGGACCTTGTTTATGTTCACACCAACCTTCGTTTACTTTCTCGGAGTTCGGCAGAGTATATGGAAGGGGAATCAAGAATGTGGGATATTGGTGGAGATGCCTTCGACTCATTTCAAGGAGCTGGCATGTTAGATGTTGCTGCTCTTTCTCTTGACGAGCCCACGATGGAGGCCGTTATGTTTGAGGAGGATGAAGGAGTTGATGTCATAGAATAATCTTTTTAATATTTCAACTTGAAACATGTATTTTTATATGCTCAAGATTTTTCTTTCTGGATTTGATAGTTCAGCTTGTTTAATTATTTGTTTTAGTTGCTTCCAATTTCCACACATCCTTATGTGAACTTCGTTTAGAAAAAAGATGGTAAATTGTGGATATTGACTGAATTCAATAGTTCATGTTTTAGAATCTTTTCACAGGTTTGTAGCTGTTAGATATTGTCATTATTCTCATGTACTAAGGGTTAATTCAATTTTTACAAGTAAATCATGAGACCTCTTAATACTTTCCTGTGACATTGCCTTATGTTGCAAATGCATTTTAGGTTCCCAGAAAATTTACAAGCAAGGTTGAAGGAAAAATATGATAATGTAATAGGAATTTAATTCAATATTAATCTATATATAATAATAATATTAAAAAAATTTAGCCGTGTCGCCGTATCCTATTTTTTTGGATTTTGCCGTGTCCGTGTCGTGTCCGTGTCGCCGTGTCCATGCTTCATAGGATTGGTGATTAGTTTATGTTTATTTATGGATATTGATAATGGCTCATAACTATTAAATATCAACTTAGTAAGTTAGTTTATGAATCTAATGATTAAACAATAATTATGTAGATGCGTAGATGGTTCTTCATTCTTGATGTTATCTTATTATTTGCTTGTTTATTATTCCATTTTGACTAACATTATATTTTTTTTCAAGCTTATGTTTGTTTATTATTTGCTAGTATATTACTCCGATAAATACTACTTATCCTCGATATATCTCCGATTTTCGCTATCAGATAAGGATTTTGACCGTCCGATAAATCCCCGATAACCGACATTTAAAACCTTGATCACACCACACGTCGTTCTATTCATCTTTTTCCAAACCTTCTCCTCAATGTCATTCGGTTTCCTGTCCAACTCCAAAATATCTTCTAAATTTTATGCATTGAGTGTATCCAAGACTTCATATCTCCAAAGACCAAAATTATTAGTGTCATTAAACTTCTTCACATTTATCTTTATAGAATGGATATTCAAACTTTGAACGGTCTTCACGCCGGAAGTACCCTCCATAACTCTTTTCCCAACCATCTTTCTCAAAGCACAAAAAAAATACGAAACAAATAAAGAATAGATCCAAAACTAAAAAAGATAGTCTTTACAAAAAAGATCTCACCTTTATCACCAAACGAAGCCCTAGACGAGCCTCCAAAACAACCTACTCTTCCAAATAGCCCAAACATAGCCCGAGCTCTGATACCACTTGTGTTCTGATACCACTTGTGCGCTGCGGAAGCCAAACAATAAAATCAACGTGCTACGAGAAATCAAATCAAACGAACGTCGAGAGAATGCCAAACGAACGTCGAGAGAAGGCCAAACAAACCAAATCAATGTCACAAACACAAACAACCAATTTTAACGTGGTTCGACAAGTTACCTACGTCCACGGGGCAAGAAGGGGATAGGGTTTTTCATTAATAGAGAAGAAGAATACAAACTGAGATTACAAATCACTTAAACTACCCAATTAATCTCACAAACAAATCTCTAATTCTCTCCAAACAAAACCCTAACCAATAACTCAGAAAATACCTCTTTTCTGTACTCCAAATATCCCCAATTTTCTTCTCTATTCTCTCTTCCAATTGTTCCATATATATAGAAATCCTTAAATCATAAACATACTAGGAATTCTAAAACAAAAAACAAAACAAATTAGGAATCCTAATAACATGTTACCAAAACAAATTTGGAATCATGTTACCAAAACAGATTAAGAATCCCAATAACCTGTTACCAAAACAAATTAGGAAACATATTAGGAAGCTGCTATCCAACATATTCAAGCAAACATAGTTCTACACCCCACATTAGTGATTCAAAATATATGTTCCAAATTGTGAAATGTTAGTTATTTGAAATGATCATTGCAACGTTTCGGATATTCAATGATTATTAAATCCCTTGCACTGACACTTTGAAAGGAATTATTCATCATAACGGGCGCGACTTAAGCGGAATGCTGTTGTAGCATAACGAATATATGGAAAATCTCTCAAATCATATTATTGAATAAGCATAGATAAAATTCTTCAATGTCAATACAAAATCAAGTTCAGCAGCAAATTAATGTGTTTTAGAGAGAGAAAGTGGTAGAAATAGAGAGAGAGAGAAGGGGTTTTGACTTTGACCTGAGGAGACGATGGAGGCGGCGGCTGAGCGAGGGGGTGGTCGGCGACGGGCGAGCGCAGGAGAGCGGCGGCGGATTCCTCGGCGAGGTAATCGCGAGCTCTGAACTCCATGTGGAGATCGAAGAGAGACAAAGATGACGCCGTGGGCTCTGCCGCCCTCTCTCTCTTTTGGCCCTCTTCCTCATTTTCTTCAGCCACGGGCAAGTGAAAAGGCACGTGACTTTCTGTAAATTTCATTAAACACCCCAACTTTTGGGCTATTGCCATGAACCCCCTTTCGTTTTCCCACTGAGCACCCCAAACCGGTATTTGTGTGATGTCTCTGTGTGTATTTGTAAGTATCGAATATGTTTAGTTCGTATGTATATATGATGACTGCTCTGGTGTGTTTGTATTGGATACGGTGTTGGCTTATACGCATGGAGTATATATTTTTTGACTGATTTGGGTATGTTTGTATTGAATGGGGTTGTTGGTTTATACAAACTTTTGGCATTGCGTTTATTTACTGTGAAGTAATCTATATCTATCTATACTACTTATAAAAGAGAATACTCATGTCAAAACTTTTCATACCCATTTTGCCCTTTACAAATTACTTAATTCTAATTTTCTCCTCATCACAATAGTAAGCTTTAATTACTTAATTCTAATTTTCTCCTCATCACAATAGTAAGCTTTAATTAGTGTCTTAGACTCTTAACCTTCCATAACTCATTAATTAATGTGCTGAATACGAAAACTCACCAACCCCTTTGGTTTGAATTTAAATCTCCATCAAGTGACATGGCCAATTGAACTCCACGCATAATGTAAAAAATTCCTTCAGCTAATGTAGTCATTCACATTATCCACGATAGCCATGAGCTTTTAATGAAACTCCAAGGCTTTTCGTTTCCCGTTCGTTATCCTTATCATTATGCAACAACGCTTAAACTTTTATTGATTTCTATTGACTATATCTTTCATATCTCCCTCATTTCACCATCTCCGCTCTCATCTAAATTTCTCTCTCAACTCCACATTCTCCTCTGTCTTCCTTCCTCTTGGTCAATGCTTTGTTCTCCTCCTTCTCAATATCTAACCAGCGTTAGCATCTTTCAAATTCAATCTCAAGCCTGTCATTTGTCGAAGGGGGTTATACAAGGAGAGAGCACTGGTATGAAATCCATTTCATAATTTGAGCTCTGTTATATTTCTTCGTCATCTGATCTCTTTGTACATATTGGTTAGTTTTGTTTGATTTCTATGGTTTTAGCTAATTAGATCTCTTCAAAGAGTGATGGCTAGAACTTGTTTTCGATCTATTTCTTGTGATAAATTTATGTAGCAAGGCGAAGTGCGCTCAATATCACACCGTCGAAAAAGAAGTCGGCCTAAAGCAAGGTGTGAGAGACATTTTCATCCACTTCGATCGAATTTGTTTTCTTTCTGCATTTTTATTAGATTTATTAAATTTATGTTATTCTTGGACAAATTTTGACTTTACATTTTCCATGTGATGGATGTGCCTTGGATCTTAGTTTTTTTTGCAGGATCTTTCTCAGAGCTGAATATCTTTCACGTTTTTGTTTGTTTAGATCCTAGATCACATTTGTGCATTTATTATCTTAAAAAACATAGCCTTCTAATATCATTGTGGATTTTAGACTTGAGGTTAAATTTTCTAAATTTATTTACTCTTTGTAAATCCTATTATGACCCAAGTTCAGTAGTCTTTTTACGTGGCAATTTGGTACTACAACTGGTTATTCGTATTCTAGTGCAAACAAGAGCATGACTATTTTCTTGAAGCATAACAGTATGCATGATTACCTACTTGATCCAAAGAAGGTATGACCTCTCAGCCTCATAATAACGCTATGTGATATGAGGAACTTAGCTTAGATATTGTAATTAGTTTCGAATGTGCTTGAACTTGAATTGCACTGAGTGTCTAATATGGTTGGTCTCTTATCATTGCTTGATTATGTCAATTTTATTTATACTATTGATTGTGATACTAATTAAATTCAAAATTTTGAATTTTACAAACATAGTGGTTACTTTTGGAGGTCAAACTAAAATTTTTGTTGGAGGGGAAAACTAATATAGAATATAAGAAATATAAATATGCAAGTTTGAATATTTTAATTACACATACAATGTCTATTTCAAATTGGACCTCATATTTTTTATATTTAACAAGTATAAATTCTTTTTATGCAAAACCAAGATTAGTGTTATCTACTAAATATGCTCATGGGTAGATATTTTTCTAGAGCTTATATTACAATGTTAAGGAATTTAGTAGTGAGGATCTAACAAGTGAAAGAAAACCTTATTCACACACGCGCGCGCGCGCACACACACTACTTATAAAAGATGATATGGGTGACAAAACTTTTGATTGTTTTTTATTTAAAAATTTTAAATATAATGGTCATTCAAATATGATAAGAGTAAATATCCCCACATTTAGGGGCAATTTTTAATTTAACTTTGTCCTTTTCTATCTTTTGTTCTTCAAATAACTCCCACCTGACCGATGAGTAGTCTTGTAGGCTGATGGACTCACTGGGGCAAATTATTCTCAGTTTGTTAGTCTTCTCCATAACACTGTAAAACATATGTATAATATAACTTGAAATACACATGCCACTTAAGATGGAAATAAATTCTATGTAACTATAATTAATCACATAATTCATACATGTGTTTTTGTGATCAAATGCATTTGAAACTCCATACCTATTTCATTATAATTAATCACATGGTTCATACATGGTTGGGCGTGGTAGCCTTTGACATTTTGTAGTGAAATTTGGATAGGATTGGAATGAAGGTGAAAGTAATTAGCTCATCAAACAGCAAGGAGAGGGAGGCTATTGAACACTTCCAGTGCTGATTCTTTCCTTGATAGCAGTAGTATTGAAGAAATATAGATATGAACAATATGGATAATTTGATTTTACTCTCTTACTTGATACTATGAGTTTAATTTGGATAGAGGAAATATTTGTAATATGAGAATCTAAGGTGACCTATAAAATGTTTCTAAATTGGGCAAAGTATTGCTTTTTTGGATACATGTGTAAAATTTGCTAAAATAATATTGTAATTTCTGATTATGGACTTATTTGTAATTCTCTACTATATGCATATTTGAAAATGTTATCATTTATTTAATTCATATATTCTATTCTTTCCTGGATCCGACGAGCCAACCTAAAACATTTTACATTCTTTAACTCTCTTTAGAGAGAGATAGAACGCATGCATGGGTGTGAATTTTTAATCGCATGAATTTAGATTTCTAATCTCTAACTCTCTCTGAGATTTTGTGTTTGTTGATGGGATTTTTCTTTTTATATTGTGTCATTTTCAGGGAAAAGTAAAATATAAGAAAAAGATAGAGAAAAATAAGAGGGAAGAATGGTAAGCGCAAAGGCGAGTTTCAAGATCAGAGTAACTTGTCAAGAATTATGAATGTTTTTGTTAAAAAGGGTTTTAGTCTAATTTATTTAATTTTCTCTATAATTTTTTAATGATTCAGATCAAATAGGCATATTTATTCTAAAACCATTGCAGATAAGAGAGGAAAGGTGCAGTCAATTATGCGAGTTGCTCAAGATATCTGAGGTACTGCCATTTGATCTTTTAGAATATAATGCTATGATCTAATATGATTTCACCTCCATTTTGGGGGAAGATTTTGATGTGAGTACTTAAATTAATTCATTTAAAATCTTCATATTTGTATCTTTTGATTCAATGTAATTTCGCAAAGTGCAATGAAACATTCAGGCCTTGTTTTATCTTCTACACAAACATACATCAGTGGACGTGTTTTCCCAAAGGTTATAGAATTTCCCCAAAGTTATAGAATTTCAGGTCTGACCTTTCTCAAGAAATGTTTTGTATTTGATTGGTAGCATATTGCTTAATTTAAATAAATCATTATATTTCTAATGCTTTCATGTTCTGTAAATTTCCTATCACTTTTTTGGGTTGAAGTTTCACATGTATTGAAACTTAAAGACATGCACAGTGGTGTTGACTTCATCATTGTCACATTATAGTGAGTTTTAATACAATGTGGCATCAACTTCATCCAATGCCTTGCTGAATAATTTTAAAGGTTACTCTCTGTTTAGTTAGAAAGAGCTTTGAATTGGACGTATTAAAGGTCAAACATGCATTTTCCTATTGTCTATGCTATTGCGTTTGTTGCGTGTACTCTATTTCTTTTGTTAATTATTGGTTCCGCTCCGAGTGTTTATTGAAGATATTTATGTCTACTGATAGTATTTGCCTCACTATTAACATCCTACTTGGGCGTCTCATATTGTGGCAGAGTACAGATTAGGTTTATTTTTTGTGACAACCTTGAATATGATGCTCGCCAATTAGGACTTCAGATAGCTTTTTAGCAAATGTGGAAAGGTTGACATGAGGTGAGTTAAATCCCCATAACTGATACTGGATTGGATGAAACATTCAGGCCTTGTTTTATCTTCTACACAAACATACATCAGTGGATGTGTTTTCCCAAAGGTTATAGAATTCCCCCAAAGTTATAGAATTTCAGGTCTGACCTTTCTCAAGAAATGTTTTGTATTTGATTGGTAGCATATTGCTTAATTTAAATAAATCATTATATTTCTAATGCTTTCATGTTCTGTAAATTTCCTATCACTTTTTTTGGGTTGAAGTTTCACATGTATTGAAACTTAAAGACATGCACAGTGGTGTTGACTTCATCATTGTCACATTATAGTGAGTTTTAATACAATGTGGCATCAACTTCATCCAATGCCTTGCTGAATAATTTTAAAGGTTACTCTCTGTTTAGTTAGAAAGAGCTTTGAATTGGACGTATTAAAGGTCAAACATGCATTTTCCTATTGTCTATGCTATTGCGTTTGTTGCGTGTACTCTATTTCTTTTGTTAATTATTGGTTCCGCTCCGAGTGTTTATTGAAGATATTTATGTCTACTGATAGTATTTGCCTCACTATTGACATCCTACTTGGGCGTCTCATATTGTGGCAGAGTACAGATTAGGTTTATTTTCTGTGACAACCTTGAATATGATGCTCGCCAATTAGGACTTCAGGTAGCTTTTTAGCAAATGTGGAAAGGTTGACATGAGGTGAGTTAAATCCCCATAACTGATACTGGATTGGAGAACTTTTTGTACTTTTAATTGTTGAGCACTTTGTTCTGGCTATATTATTGACCTCTAAGCATTTATAGATATTAGACATGAAGCTTTGAGCGATGGT